TAAGAATTTCCTTGAAATAAACCATCGAGCGAACTTGGGGTACCTCCATGACTATGGAAACCCCCATGGAGTCTTCCAATGGGCATCACCATGTTTGATGGTTCCTTGGGGGATCATTCATATTGATACCCTCTGGTAATTTAACATAGCGATTAAACATGGCCCCTAGAAATAGTTGATTTACCTATTAAAAATGGTGATTTTCCATAGTTTTTTGTATGTTTACCAAAGGGTATCCCATTATAAATTAGCAATCTGGTTGGTGGTTGACCTACCCCTCTGAAAAATATGAGTTCGTCTGTTGGGGTTATGAACTTCCCAATATATGGAAAAATAAAATTGATGTTCCAAACCACCAACCAGTATATTGGGTTGATGGAATTAGTATCAGCCATAAAACCCAAGCATTCCACAATATATTCCAATCCTCCATAATATCCAAAAGTCTTCAGTGCTTGGATGTTTTGCCAATATAGATTACCCATAATATACCATATACTCTGGTAAACTAACGTAACTATTGAAAATTACCATTTATAGTGAGTTTTCCCATTAACATATTGTGATTTTCCATAGTTATGTTAGTTTACCAAAGCGTATATATATATATGCCAATAATGTGGGTAAAATAATACTAAACCATCCCCCAAATAGCTATTTTTATATATAGGTGGTATAAACCATTCCCAAATTGGTGGTTTATGGCATTTTTTCACCCACAATAGATATCATAATTTCTGTTTATTGAATCTCATGATTAAATAAGGTTGATGGTAATTACCCATATCCCAACCCACGTTAGGTTTAATATTCCATTGAATATCCCAATAGATCACCCATATTTCCATATCCTTTTCATATCCCATTACCCTCTGGTAAACTAACTATGTACAATCACCATTTTTCATGGCTAAATCAACGAACTAAATGGCCATGTTCAAAAGCAAACAGTTAGTTTACGAAAGTGCATAACAATACATTGTCAATCTTGGATATCCTACAAATAATTTCTTAGCTTGAACGTAGATAATCCCATATCAAAAGACTACTCAGGATTAGTTTGTACCCATCCAGTTGGTTAACTATTAATAGTCATTGACAGTTACTAACCATCAACAATTACTATGAACCATTAACATTATTAACAGCCATAACCATTAACCACTAACCATTAGTAAATCCTACCTGTGCAGGGTTAACCCACTTGGTTACCTCCATTTTTGCTGGTTAAATCACCATTTTCCTATGGGTATCCTATGGTTTTCCTATGGTTCCAGTTGGTTAACCCCAAAAGGAGAAAGCACCGGGCGTGTCAAGTGACATTCTCCAGAAGTGCGGTGAGTCGCCATGCTGCTCCTGGCCATTCGACCTATCCTGGCGATGAGGACAGGGAGGCCCAGCCTGGGCAATAAAAAAATAGAGGAAAATGTGGATTTCACTACCGAAATCCAAAAAATGATTAGGATTTAACCATGAAAAAAATTGGCTTTAATGGGATTTAATCATCAAAAACTTGGATTTCATGGGATTCAATCTTCACACAACGTAGTTAAATGGGATTTGATTTCGAAGTGAAAACATTGCATCGAATGAGATATCAACGGTTCTACAATTGCAAAATATATAATTTTACTTTTATACTTCCAGGTTTCACTGTTTGCAATCTGTTTTGAGGTTGCGATTGCAAAAAAAAAACTGGTTTTTGGGATTTCTGGACCAATTCTATCAAGATTTAATGAAAGGTTCAGCACATGGCCACTCATAGATACCCTTCAAAAGGCTAAAGTTTGATTTGCTTAGTTAGTTTTTATGCGGAATTGTGGGAACAGCAGCCCGATATATATATATATATATTTAATATCAATATACATATATATACACATAATATATATATAATATAATAATAAATATATAAAATATACAAAAATGTATAATATATAAGTACCCTACGCAACCAATCTTTACCAACTTTGTGGTTTCTCATTTGAGTGGCAATGGGAACCACACCAAAGCAAGACTGCTTCGAATTGGCATTGGGTTACCCTCTGGTAAACGTTTACTATGGAAAATCCACCCATATTATAGCTGGGTAAATCAACGAACTAAGTGGCCATGTTTAATTATTGGATTATATCTATCTATCTATATATATAACATTTCTATATCTGATTGGTGGTATACCTACCCCTGAAAAATATGAGTGAAAGTCAGTTGGGATGATTCTTCCCAATATATGGAAAAAATAAAAATGTTCCAAGCCACCAACCAGGAATTGACATCGGGTTAATCTGGGGTAATCCTACTTTCCCAATGGGAACCCGCTTTTAAAAAAGTTTCTTGGTTGAAGGCTTAGTTCCAGTATGGCACCCCCCAAAACTTACTTGTGCTTAGTAGGGAATGAGGGACTGATCTACAATAACTATGAAAAAAATAATCCCGCTCCCATCCATTCACATCCATTCCCATCCATTCCCTACTAAGCACCAGTAAGTAAGTGGCTTATAGTCCACATACAAGCCATAAGTAGTTCATCCCATATTATCCACATGGGATAAGCATATGTAACTGTTTTTTTTTCAGCCAAAAACCAGGAAATGACGGGGTAAAATCCATCGAAGACCCCTGGCTTCATACTTGTTGGCATCTTTTTGGTGGTGACCAGTGGCTACATACATACATATATATGTATATATTATAATGATAATAACAATAATAATAAAAAAAATTAAAAATACTAAACATAATAACAATAATAAGAAAATAACAATAACAATAAATATATTATAAATAAATTATATTTATAAGATTTATAAGTTTATTTTTTTACTTATATTTATCTACTTATTCATTTGTTTATTTTCTGTCATCCCATAAATTGTCCCTGTCCTCCCCGAAGGACCAAGCAATGACTGCCATGATCAGTACGGCGCCAAGTCCTGGATCATCCCGGTAACGTTTTTTTTTTCCGTGGCGAATGCTGGGAAAATCATAGGAAAATCCACTACAAATGGTGATTTCATAGGGATGATCATGGGAAAATCCTGCGAAAATATAGGGAAATCATCTGGTAAACTAACAATTTACGATTGAACATTGCCATGTATAGTTGATTTACGAATCATTATTTACATATGAAAAATGGTGATTTTCCATATTTTTGGTATGTTTACCAGAGGGTAATCCACTACACATGGTGATATTATAGGGATGATCATGGCAATCATGGGATATATGATATATATATATTATAATACATATATACATATATATATATACAAGGTGGTGCCCGCTAGATAGCGTTCAGTTGGTGAACATAACTCCAATAACTATGGTTTATAGGTGATATACCGAACTAGTATTCATGGGGTTTATAAACCAACTTAAAACGTTTGGGGGACACCACCTTGTGTATATATATATGATGATTTAGTGGCTTTACTGTGACTTTATGGTGGCTTTATGGAAATCCTCGATCTAAATGTTTTTTTTTGCAAAATCGGCGGGCACATCGGAAAATCAAAGAAACATCCACTAAACATGGAGTTACCCTCCGGTAAACATACAAAAAACTATGGACAATCACTTTTTTTGTGGGTAAATCAACTATTTCTATGGCTCTTTGCAATAGCAAACTGTTAGTTTACCAAAGGGTAATCGCCATGTCTGATTATGTACTAACCATTTCATAACAGGATGGTCAATATCTCCACATCTCAAAATCACCTAAAATACCTGAGTTTGGTTAGTAAAGTACACCAGAGTGCCATGCAAGGTGGTGCCCCATAGTTAGCTAAGTTGGTGAACATAACTCCAATTTCACTTGAGTTTATGGTAGATATACCGAACAACTACTTAATGGGGGTTATAAACTAGCAAACATACCTGCACCAGCTTGTGTAAATCATGGAATAGCCCACTTTGGTTCGTGAAATTCCATGAGAATCCCTTCCCTCATAGAATTTCATTGCCAATCAGCCAGATATCCTGCAAAAAATAACATTTTTTTTGCTGGTGAACGTAGATATTCCCATACCAAAAGACTATTCAGGATTAGTTTGTATCCATCTAAGATTGACCTAGGAATAAGACACGCGACGATCCGCAGCGGCTCCGCAGCTCCTGTGCCCACCTTTCCCAACAAGCTGATGTGGCCCTCCGTAAAGTACATCGGTGGCGATGCTACATGGGCGAAGACGTCGGGGACCGTCACGTGCCTGGGCGAGCAGAGCATCGCTGACAGCTTGGCTGCCAGGAACGGGGACTTAACATGACTTAACCCCCACAGGATGGTGGCTCCCATGAATACTAGTTCGTTATATCTACCATAAACCAGAGTTAATGCTAGTTTTTTCAGGCAACTTAGCTATGTTGGGGGCCCAATCCTTCAAGATAGCTGAGTGAGACTAAGTTCACTTGTGAAATTCTGTGGAACTCTATGGTTTATGGCAGACATGTGGAGATACAACATCAATTAATGGGATATAACTATCGTTTTCATGGTGTTTTAACCTATTTTTATGAGAAAACATGATGTGATGATATAGTGGGATAATGATGGAAATCATTAATGGGTAAATGATTTTTCTGGGTAAAATCAGGTTATCAGACCGCCAATCTTGGATATCCTGCAAGCAATGAACAAGTTAGCTGGTGAAAGTTTTGTCTTTTCCTATTCAGACCGCAAAATATTATTTTTCTCACTTGGCCTGTCTGTTGGCCCAGATTTGTCCCATTAATTTTGATGCAAAATGGACGTGCATCATCTCCTCATGCCTCTTGATCATTGTCCGCCTATGCAAATGCGCTTGCGGCAAGCTGTCGCAGCTGTCATCAAGTTGCCAGTTTGCTGGGAGACCTCTGCAGCCTGCAGTTCACCAATGAGCATTGACAAAGTTGGTGATCGACAGTAGCCTCCGGTAAACTGTTACATAACTATGGAAAATCACCATAGAAATAGTGGATTTTCCCATGAAACATGGTGATTTTCCCTCGTTTTTTCTATGTTTACCAGAGGGTAGCTCCATCTGACAGCGCTGGCGACAAAGTTGGACTTCTACAGCTGATCCTCAGCTCGGATCCGCCAGTCGATTCAGCCGATTCCTCGCATTCCTCGCGGATCTGCCATGGATTCCCGGCGTAGGAGACCGAGGAGACCGTGCCGTCTAAGCCATGTTTGATGGTGAGTTTTTTGTAGGTCCAGGTAGGTTTACAAAGGCTTATGCTAGGTATATCCACAGTGAAATGGCTTCATTTTTACCAACACATATCACTGCAAGGCACCAAATACCATTGATTCCATTGAAATCCACTTTTATAGAATCATTCTCCTTAATTCCACTAATCATCAATACGCCCATTGTTGCTTTAAAACCAGTTTGTAGGGGAAATCCTGAAACGCAGCATCCTACTAGAATGGACTTAAATTAACCCGAAATCTATTTTTGTGCGACCTTTTTGATGTGTTATTCTCCAGTCAACTAACACTGCTATGGAAACAGCCCAATCATAGTTCGATGGTTTTGACCGATCCCCAAGTAGTGGTTTTCCCTTTGGGACAATCAACAAAATACTTGTATCCTAGTTATAAAACCTCCTAATTGGTGGTTGACCTACCCCTCTGAAAAATATATAAAAATGATGGACTTCGTCAGTTGGGAGTATTCTTCCCAACATATGGAAAGTCATAAAACATGTTCCAAACCACCAACCAGCCTCCATTTTTTGTCGTGGAGGTCCCTAAAAAATGCTCAAGATTTCACCCTGGAAAATGGTGGAAAAAATGGCCAAGATTTCCACAGCACATGTTAGTCTACCGGTACAACCCACCGCATCGGAGGTACTCAAAGGCTGGTGCCAACCAGGGCATTGCAGGCGCAGGCGCAGGCGCATCGCGTGACACGATCCTGGACAGGGCGCCCTTTTTGGTGGAAAGGCCAAAGACATCTGCAGGATGGCGCCCCCGTTGGATAGCGTTCAATTGCCTGAAAAAAGTGGCTGAACTCTATGGTTTATGGTAGATATATCTATAGTTAATGGAGGTTGTAATGGTTTACAACCAACTTATAACTGTTGGTTTGTGGAAGATATAGCTGTAATATTCATGGGGTGAAACTAAACCAACGTAGCCATCAGTGGGGGGCACCATCCTGTGGTTTAAAAACGATTTAATGATTCTATGGTACATAAAACTATACCTAAGGGGGTTATAAACCAACTTATAACTGGGGGGGCACCGCCCTGTAGAGATTTAACGGGAGATGAATGGGTGGTTTAATATGATTGAATGGGCGTATATAGGTTAAGCATCCATTATTAGCAATGTTTAATGTTGATTTAATGAGATTTAAACATTAATTATTATCTATTATTGGGATTAATGATATATATATATAGACATTTAATCATTGTATAGCTGGTTGGTGGTTTCAGCCCCTCTGAAAAATACGACTTAGTCAGTTGGGATTACTATTCCCAACATACATGGAAAGTCAAAAAATTCATGTTCCAAACCACCAAACAGGAATTGGAATTGGATTAATTTGGGGTAATCCTACTTTCCCAATGGGAACCCGCTTTATATATAGACATTTAATCATTGTATAGTCTAATGGGGATTTAATGATTTGCAATGCTTAAGCATCCATTGTTGTTGGTCTTTTATCTCCATCATGCAAGGTGATGGCTTAACGTTGGTGAACATAACCCCCATGAAAAGTAGTTCGGTATATCTACTTGGTGGCTCATTCCACTTGGTAAGTGGGTTGTAACCGTAGTTTTTTGAGTGGATTAAGCCCACTTATCCCACTTTATAACCAGGGATATAACCTACTTAGGATTCGTGGAATGAGCCACCAAGTACCATAAACCCAAGTGAAATTGGAGTTCTGTGAGCCCCAACATGTCGCGATTTAGCTCACTGGGGCACCACCTTCTATGTGCCATGATTAAATTGAAAATATGGTGGAATCTAATGGGAGATTTTCTTGGACATATAACTAACCAACTACATCTCTCTCAATATCAAAGCAGGGTGCCAGTGGCGTTAATTCATGGGGTATGGTCATTCAAGGATCATGACTGGGATTTCTGATTTTGCACGTAGTAATTCGCTATTGATGGTACTATGTCCACCCCCTGGTTTTTTTCATCACACTTTCGCCGAAACTTTTGCCATAGAGATCTTGGTATGGGCAACAAAATGAACCACCAATAGCTGGGATTATGACATGAGTTCTGGTAGAAAAATCGTTGAGAAGGATCAGAGTTGGACTCTAGACTGTAGATCCATTAACTGACTTAAAATCATCTACATTTTTTTTGCTATTTAATGGTGTTTAATGGTGTTTAATGGTTATTTAATGGTGATTAATGGTGATTTAATGGTGATTTAATGGTGATTTAATGGTGATTTAATGGTGATCTAATGGTGATTTAATGGTGATTAATGGTGATTACCCTCTGGTTATTTAACATAGCCATGGAAAATCCACCCATTTTTAACAGGGAAACCATCTATTTTTATGGGCATGGCTTCTATGGCTATGTTCAACTTCGGTAAATCATCAGATCGTGCAATTGCTCGTCAGCAGCACATTTTGCGAGTCTAGAGTCTACTTGTATCACAAGAAACTTCGCCAATCCGCTTTAAAAGATTAGTCAGATTGGATTATCATCCCAACTATTGGGGACAATAAAAAATGTTCCAAACCACCAATCAGTCATATTCATCACTCTTCTCATCTGTGCCCAATACTAGGGTTGCAGTTGGGATTCTACGTGATAATGGTCAAAATATGGCGTTAAATGTTATATGGTGTTATGTGGTGTTATATAACCCTTATAACTTTTGCTTTTTTCCAATTTCATAGAATTCGACCCCCCGAAACTATTGATTTTCCCGTTCAGACTGACCAATCTTTCATGTTTTGGGAACAAAAAACACAAGTCGCGCCGTGCCCTTTCCAAGCCTTTCTGTCTGGAGGAAAGACAATTCACAGTCTTCCACCGTCTCGCCTCAGCCCGAAGTGATCTGAAGCATATGAGACGCTTGAAGGAAGGATAACCAAAACCCACTGACAGCTATATAGTATAGGGATTGAACAATCAAATGTGGGGGGCTTGACTTAACCATCATGTCTAGCAAAGGATTTAACATGATTTAACCATCGTTTATCGTTTGCCTGGATTCACCATGATCTTAACATATGCCGCATCGCTATCTATCTATCTATATATATATACATACATATACTTCCGTATAATATATATATATACATATTTACGTATCATCCATATATAATCCAAATAAACCCATTAATCCAAGTGGGCATATTCCATTAAACCGGATAGCCCCCAATAAATGGGTACAGTCGAAACGGTAACCAGTGACTAGCAGTGGGATGATCCACCACTCCACCATGTCGTTGAAAATAACTCCCGAGTTTTCGGCGATGTCCCCAGTGAAAATGTTGGATTAAAACCACATGAAAACAATATAGATCTATAGTTATATATATATGTATATAAAAATGAATGTATAGTTATGTGTAAATATAGAGTTATACATGAATATATATATATATATTATAACCCAAGTTATTGGAGTAATACACCAGCTTAGCTAATGAACTGGGTCACCTTATTGCTGATGTTCCTGTATTATCAAAGTCAGTTAAATAGCCCTCCAAACAATGATTCCTGGTTGGTGGTTTCAACCCCTCTGAAAAATTTGAGTTCGTCAGTTGGGATGATTATTCCCAATATATGGAAAGTCATAAAATTCATGTTCCAAACCACCAACCAGATTCCCAATACTATTCAATTAAATCACCGTTTCTTGATGGCCTTGTTTTTCATCACCGTTCTGGCGCTCATCAGGGCTCTCACCATTGGGGATATGAGATGCTTAAAAGTAGAAAAGTAACATGTTGGAAGGCCTTCGATTTGTGACATGTGTGACATTTTCTGCGGCTTACCCTCTGGTAAACATACAAAAAACTATGGGAAATCACCATTTTTGATGGGTAAACAAACTATTTCTATGGCCATTTTCAATAGCTATGTTAAATTACCAAGAGGGTAGTTACTACTCCTGGATATCTTTTTTTTGGGGGAGCCATATCGCTTTCCAGTGTTTCGTGCCGTTCTCGCTTTTGGAGGGGCCCTTTCGCTTTACAGTGTTTCGTGCGCATTTCTGACAAAAGCAGTGGTCTTTTGACCGTATCACATATCCTATTAACATCCCATTCATATTGATATCTGATTCACATCCCACTAACTATTATCCCATCAGTACCCCAGTATCCCCAGAATATCCCACTAATATCCCATTATTCTCGTATCAATATCGAAGGTTGACTTGGACTTCAGCTATGGCAGCTATGGCTGAACTCGTCTCAGTGGCTGTGCGAAACCTGCAAAAGTAGCGGAACCAGCAGCCATAGCCACGTCGTCATGGGCACCCAGGCAGCAACCCATAGGCGCTAATGGCACAGAAATGCTAGGATAATGATGCCAAAAAAGTAAACAATCAATGGGACATCTTCAGGATTCTAAAATGGAGGTACGTAAATGTACCATATTTCTGGCTATATTTTGTGCGGATATTCCCTGAAATTTAGGCCTAAAACATAGGCCTTATATATGGTAGGTACCTCCAATTTAGGTTCCGGATGTACCAAAGTACAAGAACATGTTCATTCACATTTCAAACCTGAAAAACATGTGAGTCACTTTCCTGGTGGCCAGTATCGGCTAATAGCGGCTACTAGCTACCTGGACAACGACGCAAAGCGCCCGGCGCGGAAAGATATGGACACTGCTATCTGCAGCAACCGGAGGGGGTTCGGTTGGTCTTGAGCCGAGACATGTGCGCGGCGGCAAATGAAACTTCAACCATCACCAGCAATGGGAAAAAAAGTAAATATTATTAAATATGATACTAAAAATCTTGAAAACCACACTGACCAAGAAACATACATCATACATCCCATGTTTTGACATGATCTTCACATCACATTCTACACAGTGGAAAGGCCCAGGACTCCCTGAAACTATGCAGAAAAAGTGGGTTTTCCAGTGCTGATCCGGCAAGGGGCTATAAAAGTGTTTCGTTTGGACCGCAGTTAGGCTTTTATAATATCAATGGGAGATCTTCAGGATCCTAAAATGAAAGTACTGTACCAAATTTCTGGCCATATTTCCTGGGGATATTTCCTTACATAGCCCTGAAAAATAGGCCTTATATATGGTAGGTACCTCCAATTTAGGTTCCTGAGATGGCCAGTGATTATACTCATTATATCGTTGCTCATCTGTCGTGTGTTCCCACCCAGTGTGCGTGTGATCTTTTAAAAGTCCCCACACCCATGTCAAGTTTTCAGGGCCAATCGTTGCTAGCCCGCCAAACAAAATACAACTCAGCCATCAAGCCATGCATGTGATTTTGTGTGTATATTATAAATATAAATATATATATATATATCAAACGTAAACATCAAGACCCTATATGCGTATACCATGTGTAATATTATGAGAAATAAACAGATCAATAAACATATTTCTTTATGTGTTTATATGCCAGTATATGCTTATAATTGTGGTGTGAGTGTGTATATTTCTAAATAATACCACATGTGTATATACTGTATATATATATACATGTGTATATATATATATATATATCTGGTTGGTGGTTTCAACCCCTCTGAAAAATATTAGTCAGTTGGGATGATGATTTCCAACTGAATGGAAAAATAAAACATGTTCCAAACCACCAACCAAACATGTGTGGTTACCAAATATATATATATATATTACTTATATATATATGTATATAAATAAATATATATATAGATATATATGTATATAAATAAATATATATATATATATATGTATAAATATATATATATATGTATATAAATATATATATGTATATAAATAAAAAATCATTATATATATAATATCTGTTTATATATACCATGTATAATTCCATATATAATACAATAAATCATTGTATATACCAAATACCATATACCATATATATATATATGTTGTATACGTCTCTCCACTGCTTCAACACCCTAACCCTGCCATCGGCGGGTGAACCGCCCGGCGCGCGTTCACTCACAATCGTTCTCCAACTCATGGAGCTCTGCCCTAGCAGCATCTGGGCCCTATGTATAAATATAGATATACATACTCTATATGCATGTATATATACACTATATTGATATATATATATATACACACGCATATATGCAAATATATATATACATGTATATATATATATAAACAATATATATATATATATATATATACATATATATGTACTATACATGCTATTGCTATAAATGAGTATACATGACTATAACTATAGTATATAACTTCAAATGGACATGCCGCAATTTTCGGATGATTTCCCTCCTACGATGCCCAGCTGTGAGGCGACGTGCCTGAAGGTTGAAGCCAGCCAGTGCCAAACCGGCTAAAATGCCACTAACAATGGCCTCAGGATCTGGCTGATTCTTCATCTGCTGATGAGATCTAACAACTATATGCAGTGACTGTGTGTCTGAAAATGGATTTAAACACCAAGTTATGGTCATTTATCTATATTTAATCTGATAATGATGATTAACAAGCGGATGGAGTGAAGTTTCCCTTAAGTTTTCAGGTACATAACCCACAGAATTGGTTGATTTTCAATTACCCCCAATATATCAACGTCCTGTTGCAGTTTGTACCACCCTGGATGAAGATTATGTAAAACTCCTGGGCTGCACATCTTTACTGAAGCGGTGAAAAATACCTCACCTTTCCGCTTAATGGGCCGGGTGGAGCGTAGCAACATGCCTTATTTCCATTTATTTCCAGAAGCCTGTTGGGTTTCAACCCCACTGAAACATAATTTTCAGCATCCAAGTCAATGTGCTATCCACAGCTCCAATACGATTCATTGCCAATCAGCCAGATACCCTGCAAAAAAAAAAACTTTACTGGTGAAAGTAGATATTCCCATACCAAAAGACTAAAGGATTAGTTGATTAGTTTGTATCCATCTAAGATTGACCTAGGATTGAACATAAGAATCATTGGATTTCGCCAATGTGATATGGTCCTACTGGGATCCATTCTCCACTCATATTGATCCATCACGAGCCATAAAAACCACGTCGACCGCCAGCGCCACTTTTCTCCGTCGCTCCGCTCCGAAAAAGACCTCGTCTCGAAGGGCAGGGAGCGATGGGTGGATTCATAGGAAACAACCACATTTCCCTTCTTGGTGGCTCATTCCACTTAGTAAGTGGGTTGTAACCGTAGTTTTTTGAGTGGATTAAGCCCACTTATCCCACTTTATAACCAGGGATATAACCTACTTAGGATTCGTGGAATGAGCCACCAAGTATAGCTACGCTGGGCCCGCGAAATCCTGCACCAAACGGCTGGTTGAATCCCTCAAGAAAATGGGATGTGGTAGCCACCGGAGCGTTTGAAAAACTGGTGGATTTCGGCCCATCCACAGATATCCACAGTCAGTATGGGGATTCCTGAAATTTGCAAGAAATTGCTGCAATTGCTGGGCTGCTTGGTGAATTTTTCCAAGCGATTCGATCTCGATTTCACCATAAAGTTTACCCAATGACAGAACTGTACCAACAAAAAAACAAGGCTTTGAGATGATGTCCCCATGAAAAAAACATATGCGTTGGCGGCTCTGCACATTGACTATATTTCGATCTTATCCCACCTGCTATGTAAAAAAAGGTTCAGTCAAGGTGATGCGAAGTCCTAAAAAAATGGGGTGAGATTCGTTGTCTTGCTTTAAAAGAAAACACCATATCCTTCCCATGACGGATCCATGGTGCTGGTATATATGCTAACATGACTGGGGTATATTGATGGGATCCATGTTGCATCATGTTACCATATATAGCAGCACCATGGATCCTATGGGCTTGACACTATCTTGCGTTTCATTCTTATTGCTGCGTGTATCACCAACCCAGTATTGATAGTTGAAAACCATGATCCACCATCAACCCAATAACAAACATTAACACACCATATTTACATATGTGGATCCCATGGGTTAAACACGACCACCAAATGGCCAAGGTTAGTGACCCTCTTTTTTGAACTTGTTCGCCGGGAAAGGTCACTTAGATCATCCCGGCATGAATTATTCACAAGTTCTACAAGGTGGTGCCCCCGTTCGATAGCGTTCAGTTGGTGAACATAACTCCAATGTCACTTGGGTTTGTAGGTGATACATCTATAGTTAATGGGGTTTATAAACCAACTTATAACTAGGGGGGCACCACCTTGTACCTCTCAAGCCCCTTGCTGCAGCTAGAGAACTTGTTGAACTTGAGCGCTTGGTAAACAGCCAGGTGCTTGCGTGACGCACACGAAAACTTCCTGGGAGTCACGATGGCTCCCCTAAAACCAACAAGTGAAACTTCCCTAAAATGGCTTCGAAAGGCTTTGGAAGATGATTCTTCGGGGAAATTTGCTAGTGAAGGATTGAATCTTAGATTTCAAAAACAGAGCCACTGAGATTTGAGTGTTCTGCCCCTAAAAAGGTTGCAAATCTTAATATGCCATTGAGTCACACCAGCATCATGGAAATGCATGGGCTGGAAATGCATTTTTCTGGGCGTTGCCCAGACATGGTGCCAACCAAATCACTGCTTTCCGCCGGAAAAATTACGACAAACGTTGGATGATTTCGGGGTGCCCGCTGCTGCTGTTCACAGCAAAAGCCTTTTTAACAGAATGTCAGCACTTGGAAAGACACAAGGTTCTGCTCAAAAAATCAAACCATTGACTGGGAATATACTGGGATATTTTACACATATATATTTATAATTGCTATATATTGCTATCAATGGCATAGTGGGATATCATAAGGGATATACTAGTTATAGAATTGGATACAGGTCTTGGTAATCGAATAAGTCTTTCACCAGCAGTTCGGCCATGAAAGGATCATCTGAGTGGCGGATAACATTTTCAGACACAGATCACAAATCTCAGTCTAAGTTCAAACATCCCCAAACTAAGAGTACAGTTCTAAGATGTTCTAAGTGCACTTCAACTGCATAAAACTTTCGTTCAGTGCACGTCAAGACTTTCAGTTTGACCCAAAATAAATGCTGCGAAACCTACCATGAGGGCAGTTCAGCAAAGCTGCCCTCGCTTCCAACCATCGTGGGTCGGTACCTAGGTGCGAAGACGTTTGAAGACCGTGAAGACCCATCATTCCAATCCATAAGTGGGGCCCCAAGCGATAGCGAAGTTGGTCAACATAACTCCAATAACTATGGTTTATGGCACACAGAAACATTCATATAGGGGTTTATAAACCAACCTATAGCTGTGGTGAATCGTCGATACCTGTGAAAGAATCTAAGTTTGAGCTGGTTGGTCCATTTTACCAGCGCAAAAAACAAACAGTGAATCTTGGATACCTGTCATCCACAAATCATCAATTTTTGCTGGTGAATTAGCTAGTTTATGCTAGTTTTACCATTAAGATAGCCATTTGCTTAATCAAAGATTTTGCAGGACAGGCTTTCCTATCCAAGGCTGACCCAAAATCATGGCCAATCTTAGTCTGAACACCGGCTTAAGGTAATGTAAGCGTTTCGAATCATGGCATTTTTAGTCTGTTCATTTAGATGATTTCATGACCATTTTAGCTCTTAGACATGCAAAAATATGTATCTTATTGAATATAGCCTATATATAGCTATTAAGCAGCTTGTAAGTTCATTAAGCTATTAGACTTAAATTAGCGGAAGGTAGATACCTTGCTGTTTCCTATCCACAGTTCTGAAAAGGTGGATTTCCTGCTCCAAATGTCCACGTTGAACTTCCCAGAAATGGATGATGGGAGCATTTAACTGTGATTTAGGGGTTTTCATATCAATAACATAGACCCGGGCAAGCCGGCGGCGGAAGTTTCCCAAACATAAATGACCTATAGTTCAAAGACAACCTGTCCCGACCGTGTCCTTCCCTCGACAACCGTTTGATTTTTTCAGCGAGAGACGAAGCAAAGTCTTCACACTCCACACTCCACACTTCACACTGCACTTTTCGCACTCCAAACTTGAAACTTCACACTCCACACTTCACACTTCACACTTCGCACTTCTCACTTCCCACTGCTTCCTTCACACTCCAAACCTCAACACTTCACACTTCACACTGCGCGCTTCGCTCTCCAAACTTAAACTTCACACTCCACACTTCACACTTCACACTCCACACTTCACACTTCTCACTTCCCACTGATTCCTTCACACTTCACACTTCACACTGCACTCTTTACGCCCCACACTTCACACTGCACTCTTTACGCCCCACACTTCACACTGCTCTAAACCTACGTGCAACAAAAACAACACTAGTGCCAAAATGGAGAAAATCTGCTAACAAATTTATTTCGTAGCCTTCATGCAGCCACTCCAAGACGATTTCCGAGATCCAGCTGCAAAAGACAATAGTATTACAAATGCAGCCACAGCACGAAGCAACTTTGACGCAGCCATTGCAATAGGATCTGCAGAGACTGAGTTGCAAAACGCAATAGAACTACGCGCAACGGCGTCGGAAATTGTAGCTCCAAAACCGGATCTCGACGCCAGAGCGAAAAAAAGACGATTTTGAAGCACTTTTTAAAAGGATTTTTAGAAGGAAAATCACTGGCGCAGAAATGGAGAAAATCTGCTAACAAATCACTGTCGCAGCCTTCATGCAGCCACTCCAATACGATTTACGAGATCCAGCTGCAAAAGACAATAGTATTACCAATGCAGCCACAGCACGAAGCAACCTTGACACAGCCATTACAATGCGATCTGCAGAGACAGAGTTGCAAAACACAATAGACCTACGCGCAACGGCGTCGGAAATTGTAGCTCCAAAACCGGATCTCGACGCCAGAGCAAAAAAAGACGATTTTGAAGCACTTTTTAAAAGGATTTTTAGAAGGAAAATCATTAGCGCCAAAATGGATAAAATCTGCTGACAAATCACTGTGGCAGCCTTCATGCAGCCACTCCAATACGATTTACGAGATCCAGCTGCAAAAGACAATAGTATTACGAATGCAGCCACAGCACGAAGCAACCTTGACGCAGCCATTCCAATGCGATCTGCGGAGACTGAGTTGCAAAACACAATAGAACTACGCGCAATGGCGTCGGAAATTGTAGCTCCAAAACCGGATCTCGACGCCAGAGCAGAAAAAGTTGAGTTTTGAAGCGTTTTTTATAAAGAATTAAAATAAAAAATGAAAGCAGGCAAAATCTGAAAGAATCAAGCTGCAGCAAGTTCACGCAGCCATTACAATGCGATTAGCAACAATCCCTAGCAAAACACAATGGTATTACGTCCTCAGCTCGTCCACCGAAACATTTGAAACCTTCTAGACATTGCGGGAACGATCCTACAGTTGCAAAGCACAATGGAATTCCATCGGCAACTCCTCCACCAGCACCACTCGCAATGCCATTTGCATTGCGGGAACGATCCTACAGTTGCAAATCACAATGGAATTCCATCGGCAACTCATCCACCAGCGCCACTTGCAATCCCATTTACATTGCGGGAACGATCCTACAGTTACAAATCACAATGAAATTCTGTCGACCGCAAATGCACGAAACACAGGTGAAACCCCATTTACAATGCGGAACCGATCCGAACATGATCCGAGAATGATCCGACCACACACGAGACCGTCTCGCACCCGTCGCACCGCAGAGGTAGATCATCGACGTTCGGGGACGGACTTTGTATGGAAAAACATAGGGTTTCGTGCATCTGCTATCTCTCAAAAACGCATTTCGTGCGAGACTTCCTCCAAAACTCCATCGGCCACTCCTCCACCAGCACCACTTGCAATCCCATTTACAGTGAGGGAACGATCCTAGAGTTGCAAATCACAATGGAATTCCATCGGCAACTCATCCACCAGCACCACTTGCAATCCCATTTGCATTGCGGGAACGATCCTACAGTTGCAAATCACAATGGAATTCTGTCGACCGCAAATGCACGAAACACAGGTGAAACCCCATTTACAATGCGGAACCGATCCGAGACCGATCCGCCCATGATCCGAGCATGATCCGACCACACACGAGACCGTCTCTCGCAACCGTTGCACCGCAGAGGTAGATCATCGAGGTTCGGGGACGGACTTTGTATGGAAAAACATAGGGTTTCGTGCATCTGCTATCTCTCAAAAACGCATTTCGTGCGAGACTTCCTCCAAACCTCCATCGGCAACTCCTCCACCAGCACCACTTGCAATCCCATTTACAGTGAGGGAACAGTTTCTTTGCTAACTCTTTCTGTGACTAACTCTTTCCCTCACTAACTCTTTTTTTGACTAACTTGTTTCTTTGCTAACTCTTTCTTTGACTAACTCTTTCTCATATATCCTGACTAACTCTTTCTTTGACTAACTCTTTCCCTCACTAACTCTTTCTTTGACTAACTCTTTCCCTGACTAACTGTTTCTTTGCTAACTCTTTCTTTGACTAACTGACTAAACTCTTTCTTTGACTAACTCTTTCCCTGACGAACTCTTTCTTTGACTAACTCTTTCTTTGACTAACTCTTTCCCTCACTAACTCTTTCTTTGACTAACTCTTTCTTTGACTACCTCATATATCCTGACTAACTCTTTCTTTGCTAACTCTTTCCCTCACTAACTCTTTCTTTGACTAACTCTTTCCCTCACTAACTCTTTCTTTGACTAACTCTTTCCCTCACTAACTCTTTCTTTGACTAACTCTTTCCTCACTAACTCTTTCTTTGACTAACTCTTTCCCTGACTAACTGTTTCTTTGCTAACTCTTTCTTTGACTAACTCTTTCTTTGACTAACTCTTTCCCTCACTAACTCTTTCTTTGACTAACTCTTTCCCTCACTAACTCTTTCTTTGACTAACTTTTTCTTTTGACTAACTCTTTCTTTGACTAACTCTTTCCCTCACTAACTCTTTCTTTGACTACTACCTCTTTCCCTGACTAACTGTTTCTTTGCTAACTCTTTCTTTGACTAACTCTTTCCCTCACTAACTCTTTCTTTGACTAACTCTTTCCCTCACTAACTCTTTCTTTGACTAACTCTTTCCCTGACGAACTCTTTCTTTGCTAACTCTTTCTTTGACCAACTCTTTCCCTGACATTCTAAAAGTCCGTAACACGGAAGTTTCTCCCCCTAAACTTCCTTTGATTATGGGAATATACTGGGATTTATGGTGGCTTCATGACTTTAGTGTTCTTTCCGCAAATAACAATAATTGGCAATAATGATTTAACTACAATGGTGATAAACCTAATGTCAATGGGAATTTCAGGATCCTAAATTGGAGGTACCTACCATATATAAGGCCTATTTTTTATGCCTAAATTTCAGGGAACATCCCCATAAAATAAGGCCAAACATATGGTTCGTTTACGTACCTCCATTTTAGGATCCTGAAGATCTCCCATTGGCTAGGTGGAAAATCCCCTAGCCATTCAGGTTTATCAGTTTATCGGAACATCATCGAGCTACCATTGAATAATGATTTAACCATTGCCAATCTTAAATACCCTGCAAAAATGACACATTCTTTGTTGGTGATTGTAGATATTCCCATTAATACCAAAAGACTATTCAGGATGAGTTTGTATCCATGTAAGACTGACCTAGTAACTACAATGGTGATAAAACTCATGGGCATTTCGTGTTTTTTTTGATGAGATCATGGTGATTTACCATCCGGTGTCATCACCTCCATTTTGCGGCAAATCCTACAATGTGAGGCCCCCGTTCGATAGCGTTCAGTTGGTGAACATAACTCCCATTTCATTATGGTTTATGGCAGATATTAAACTATACTTAATGGGCAGATATAACTATACTATTCATGGGGTTTATAAACAAACAAACATCACTGAAATCAACCACCGAAATTTTCCAAAGGATTCGGCCGGCCGTCGGCCGGCCGACACCACAAGCTAGCTATCCCGTTGTCAATTGAGTAGCTACATTAAAAAACTATGGTTTATGGTAGATATATCTATAGTTAATGGAGGTTATAATGGTTTATAACCAACTTATAACTGTTGGTTTATGGTAGGTACAACGAACTAGATAACTATGGTATTCATGGGGTTTATAAACCAACGTTCACATCACTGGGGGGTCCCATCCTGTAGCTACATTAAAAAAATGTTTGTCCCTAAAAAAGACATGCTCCCAGAATATTCACATTTTGTGAATTGAATATTTAGTGGAGAAGTCAAGATTGTGTGAACATGTCTACTGTTATATAACTCAAAAGTTCAGGCTTAAATGGTTAACGTTATAACCCAGTGTTTACCCGTCATAGTCAGTTTGGGAATCCCTTAATCCATTTCAATTACAGAAAGCCATTTTTTCATAGGCCAGTTTGATCAGTCGAATCTTCGGCAAATGGATCACACTTTTTTCCCATCTTATAGGGATAATCATATTCAACTTTATAAGGTTTGTTTCAACATGATTACCCTCTGATAATTTGTTACTTAGCTATTGAAGCCATGGCCCAGTCGAAATAGTTGCTTTACCCATTAACCATGGTGATTTTCCAGTTTGCAAACTGTTAGTTTGCCAAAGTGTATCCTTGAACATCCCTGTAAGGTGAGGCGATTTCGCGATTTCGTGACGGGGACGAAAAGGCCGCCGACTGTACCTAATCAAGCCTAAATTCCATTGAAACCAAGAATGTGAAGTCATCATCCCATTTCGTATTCCATTATCCCATGAATATCTCATTTTTCCTTTCACCTGACAATCTTTCCAGCTAGAAGATTTCCCTTCCTCCATTGACTTAAGGGATTTTCCATGATGTTCCCATGCTTTTCCAATCAAAAATCCTCCATTTACACCAGTGAAATTGGACATTGCCCCCACTGCCCTCGTGATTTTCCCCTGGTTTTCTCTGCCAAGCAGCCCCAGCGGCTGGTAGACCTTTTCGAACGCCTCACGCGAAAGCGATGGGCGATGGCTGAAGCATGGCGAAGTTGTGACATGGGGATTCCATGTATATGAAAAAGTGGGTACAGTAATAGCCATAGCCCTAGCATATGCCAGTTATATATATATATAATATTATATTTATATATATATATGATATTATATTTATATATATATATGAGGAGAAAACACATATTATATATAATATTATTTATATATATATATATATATGAGGAGAAACCACATATTATATATATATACATATTTGTAGGAGAAACAAACTGTACATACAGTATCACCAGTTATACGGACCATAGATATGGGATGATATGGGTTTTAGACCATCTGCAAGTCCTGTTTTATGCACCTCCGGGGTGTTGTTATTGGAACTTGACGAACAAATGATGGGATCTCATCGAGGGATTGGGACATCATGGGGATAGCCTCTGGTAAACAAACAGTTTGCGAACTGGAAAATGGTGGATATATAGTGGATTTACCTATTAAAAATTGTGATTTTCCATAGTGATGTTAGTTTACATCATGGGGATAAGGGGATTCAATGGGATTATGATGATATACCCGCAACGGTGTCATCAAACATGGCAAGCTGGGAAATCATCTGCAAATGGAACTTTATAGCTCGGAAAATAAACTATGGGGAAGTGGCCATTGCCATGTTTGAAACAAATATGGTTCACCCAATGATATACCCTCTGGTAAACTAACATAACTCTGGAAAACCACCATTTTAACGGGTAAAACCACTATTTCTACGGCCATTTTCAATAGCTATGTAACAAATTACAAGAGGGTATCTGGAAAAACATGTGTATATATCATATAATCTGGTTGGTGGTTTCAACCCCTCTGAAAAATATTAGTCAATGGGAAGGATTATCCCATATATTATGGAAAATTAAAAAATGTTTGAAACCACAAACCAGTAATGATTCGCGAACCAGACTTCAGCAAAAGTAGGGCCAGTTCGTGATGTTCCCCCCTTTTTTCTATCATGGAGTCTAATGCAATTCAAACATAGCTGGACTGTCTCTGTGATAGATTCATGCGTGGTTCTCAATTGATTAAGTCGATTAAGTGAACATATAGTGAATATATGCAAGGAACATCAAGAAACTCTTGTATTTCCACTCCCCAAAACGACGTTCCTGCAACTCTGGGAACCTTCAATAGACTAGCCACAAGGTGGTGCCCCAGTTCGTTAGCTAAGTTGGTGAACATAACTCCAATAACTTGGGGTTATGGTAGATATATTTATACTTAATGGGGGTTATAAACCAACTTATAACTGGAGGTGCACCACCTTGCACCTCACCAGTTCATTTAGATAGACATGTGAAGTTAGCTCCCTAGATTTTGTTGCTGGAAACCTCCATCAGATGGACCGAACAAAAAAACGAAAACACCTTCATCAGGATGGACCCGGCCACATTCCCACTGCAACCATTCGCCAACCTGAAATTTTTCGGTGCGAATGACTCCCCTTCGCTAGCCATAATCTTTGGTGGTGCCGTGGTGACGTCGTTATTCTTCCGCCAGATTTATGGCAATGGGGGGAACCGTTAACCCTTCACAACCATAGGTTGCACGAGTACTCGGTCAGATTTGATTCATGTTCTAAGTCATTTTAGGTTCAGATTTCCCGAGCCAAATTTTGGCAGTATTTGCCTCCACAAAACAAACTTCAATTTACCCAGTTGGTATCCCTTCTTCCGTGTCCAATGTTCAAAAAATATTGAACAAATCTCTATAGGGAGAGAGAGGTAGATATTCAAACATATTGCCATTATCCTGCCAGAACATGATTTTTTTTTGAAGCTGGCTGGTGTGTATACAGAGACTCTATATATATATATATATATATATGTGTGTGTGTATATATATAGCTATAGATAACCCCAGTCAGGATAGGAAAACACGTTCTACCAAAGACCCCATCCAAGTTTCCCAGGCAAAAATGATGAATCATGACGAAGCATCGACAAATGGTTCACCCAGACCCAGTTGCTGAATCAGCTTGTCATGAGGAGCCAACCCACCAATAGACGATTAAATTTTGTCCTGAAAACAAAGTTGTTGTTGCGGTGAAGATTGGTCCGTGACAACCCCAAACATTTATGAAGAGGGTACCTTTGATACCTTTGAGGGATTGCTGAGATGTTCGACACCCTGATCGTCGTAGAGTTTTCACAATGATCTACCTGATCTATTTCCATGGTGGGTTTTCCATATTTATCTTAGTTTACTGGAAGTAAAGACCTATGAACTCCAACTTGACCTCGATTTTGATCTAGGCAGCGACCCTGTTAAAATATAGATCTATATCTACCACAATGGGAACATCCTTTAGAAAACCAATGTCCAATACTGAATGCCCCCAACTTAGCATTTTGATATGCTATAAGTTTTTTTCAGCCATGTAGGAATCCATTGGTAATTAGCCATATTTTCACTACAAGGTGGTGCCCCAGTTCGTTAGCTAAGTTGGTGAACATAACTCCAATTTCACTATGGTTTATAGTATATAGGTGATATATCTATAAATGGCTGAATTCTATGGTTTATGGTAGATATAACGAACTAGATAACTATGGGTTTTCATGGGCTTTATAAACCAACGTTCACATAACGTTTGGGGGGGCACCACCTTGTAGTGAAAACCCATGGAAGAAATCCGAGGCCTCCGAGGCCTCCGGTGCCCCGGTGCCTCTCCGAAATCCAAGCGCCTTTCTAGCTCCAGTCCGCTCGGACACCGCAGCGGCGCCAAGGCCGTACCTGGACGCTGGACCCAGCTGGACCCAGCAACCCTTGGCGCTTTCTGGGAATTTCACGGCGAAAAAAACTACCTAAAAAAGCCTCAAAGATATAGCTACCCAACCTGGTCAAAAAAACAGTTAGCTATAGAAAATCCACGGATTTTTAAGTTCGGTAAACCATCGAGTTCTATCGGCCATTTTCCAGTTAGCAAACTGTTAGTTTACCAGAGGGTAAGTTTAGCTAAGTTTATCTAAGTTTAAAGCTTTTGTGTCATGTAAATGGCTTTTGTAAACTGGGCTTGTAACTTATAACTTATAATTTATAAGGGTTCTTTGAATCATATTAGGCGATAGGTATCACCAAGATAGTGCCCCCCCCAGTTTTATTTGTTGGTTTAGCTTCACCACACGTAACTAGTTCGATATACCGACAATCAACCTGAGGTGTACTAGTAATACACCAACAAACTGAGGTACCATCAAATCCGATATTCTGTGCTTTGATTAATTAAATATGCCATGTTTATCCCCACTATTGCTGGTCGAATCACACTACTTAAGAAGACACCACCTTTTTTTTTTACCACGTTGTAGGTGGTTGATAGCTCATATTGTCGGCGATTTATTCACGTAAAAAAAAACATATTCATTATTGCTTGGTGGCCCATTCCACTTAGTAAGTAGCTTATATATGCAAAGTGGGATAAGTAGGGTTAATCCACTTATAACTTAGGTTACAACCCACTTACTAAGCGGAATGAGCCACCAAGTGGTATCCACATCAAATCCTATATGATTCAATCTTGGAATCTCTTAAGTTAAACCCCGAAGAAAATAAACAAGCATTGCCTATATGGTTTCTTATAGATTCTCCAGGCAGTGGATTTCCCATGGAGAAAATGCTAAAAACATCATCGACCGAGCACATCTAAAAATGTTAAGTCATAATCCCACTCATATCCCATTTTCCAATATCTTCCACAAAAAATCCATTACTGGTTGGTGGCTGACCTACACCTCTGAAAAATATGAAAGTCAGTTGGGATGATTATTCCCAATATATTGAAAAATAAAATTCATGTTCCAAACCACCAACCAGATATACTAAGTGGGATCCTCCAGGTGTGAGGTTACTATAAATTACCCAGATCAGTGGATTAACCAAAAGGACTTTAAGAAAAAAGCGCCAAACCTAAGCAAGTGGAGCACCTGCAATGATAGCCCTTGCATCTCTTTATATCTCTTTGAAACGTTTGGTGGCTGAATGAGCTCCATTCTTACCACTCATATTCCATTATCGCAGTCACAATCTTCCACGCACAATACATTAATATTTCAGTTGCTGGTTAATTTCCAAATCATGAATGCCAAATGGTTAATAATTTCTGCTTAATACCGGTTAATATCAATTAATACTATTAATTGTTAAAAATAGTTATTATTATCACTACAAATATTGATATTCCAATATTATCATTGAACATTTCTGATTAACATTGATTAACCAACATCAATTTACCACTAATTCTAATTAATAAACATTTATCATTAAGAGTATCACTGTTTCTGGTTGGTAACCCTGCCGCCAGCTTGCAATGCTGGTCGGTGAGCCGCAGGTGCGCCTCTCCACCTGCCCGTGAAGCTATAGCAGCTATGGCGGAGAAAAAGCTGCGGAAATCCATGGGTTTTCTTTTGGAAAATGATATGCAAATGGTGAAACCATCGATTTTCCCATTAAGATCATGGGGTTTTCCTGTAAAATTTCCCTTAAACCAATCCATTGAGATATGCAAATGGTGAATTTCCCATATGAGTTTTTGATTTCCAGAACCAAAGTTTTAGACGTTGAATCATCAACTGCTACATCAGGTTTCTAAACCCTCACAGTACTCCCGCAAAATGGAAATTTCAGGTCTTTCATCCTAATGTACACCCTGATGACCACTTTCTTCTTCATGGACACCTCAATCCCATTTGCTGCCTAGAAACATGGTCCATTCTTGACCTGTTCTTCGGAAATCATCGCACATTTTCCTCGTTTCATGGCAGTTTCTGACAAAACATTGGCGCTCGCCCCTGAGTCAACTACCATCTGGTTATTTAACAGTTCGCCATGGAGAATCACAATTTTTAATAGGTATGTAAACCATCTATAAATGGGCCATTTTCCATGGCTATGTTAGTCATAACCAGATGGTAACCACAAATTTTAGTAGAACCCCAATGGAAGAAAGAAGCGGATTGCAAACAAGCCCTTCAAACCAAGTTTCCTCCCTGTTCACCGCCTGGTCGTTACATAAACACACCAGCAGATTGGAGATCTGGCACCTATCAATTTCCTGACCCGAGGCATCAGAGACACTTTCCTGACCTGTCTGTTCATCAGGCACCATCCACGTCACGGAGGTTCTGACCTGACTCGGACTTTCCTCCCGCGCCCTCGGGGCCCTCGTGCAACTCATTGCATCCGGCAGGCATCCCAGCGGCCGAATCCATCAAGTCAAACCGACCTCATACATCTCCCTTACCCTCTGGTACACTAACAGTTTGCTATTGAAAATGGCCATTTATGGCTGATTTACCTATTAAAAATGATGATTTCCCATAGTTATGTTAGTTTACCGGAGGGTACCCAATTTCTTCCTATATGTCCAGTCATCCCGCATTTAAAGCACTTCACGTCAGACATGTTTGTGATACAGTCTTCAGCCTTGTGCAATCATAGCCAGCACCGCTCACAGCGGAAATATCCTCGGAACCTTCTGCCAATCTGCACTTTTTGAGGGGGGCTGGTTGGTGTATATTCCCATTTTTGACACAAGATTTGAAAGTATCAAAATTATAAAGTAATCTGATAGTAATCTGAAGTACCCATCCAAGACCAGGGAAGGAATCCTGGTAGGTTGAATTCGGCGGTTCCCATGGAAGTTTGAAAGCAAACTACTTTTCTGGTAAACTATAGCATAGCTGTGGAAAATGGTAAATTGACTATCAATTATCATTTTCAATGACCAACTTACCATTAGTGGTTGGTGGTTTTAACCATCTTGAAAAATATGAAAATCAATGGGAAGGATTATCCCATATATTATGGAACATAACAAATCTTTGAAACCACCAACCAGATTATATACATGGCCAATTTGTTTTGTCAATTTACCATCAACTTACCATCTGGTTGGTGGTATACCTACCCCTCTGAAAAATATGAGTGAAAGTCACTTGGGATTATGACATTCCCAGCTGAATGGAAAGTCATAAAATTCATGTTCCAACCCACCAACTACTGTAGATCATAATTCACTAACCTGAAATCTTGGGCCATTTTGGGATGATAAAAACTGTATTTTAAAAAACATGTTCAATGGCCATTTTGCTTGGTCAATATACCAACAACTTACCATATCATGGTAAGTTGGTGATTTTATAAATGGTCATTTTATCCTAGTTTTTGTCATGGTAAACTACCATGACTTTTACAATGTGGGGCCCCCCAAGATAGCGTTCAGTTGGTTTAGATTCGCCCCAGTAACTATAGTTATAAATACCATAACCATAGTTATTGCAGTTATAATCCAACTTAGCTAACTATAGATATATCACCTATAAACCCAAACGTGAAATTGGACGTATGTGAACCCCAACTGGACGCTATTGAACGCTATCCAACAGGGGCCTCGCATTGTACCATCAAAGCATCAGGACCATCCCCAAGCCACGATCAAAGTTTTCACCACCAAAGGTTGGTACAAAAAAATGGTGATTAGTTACATTGCCTAGTACCAAACAGTTGGTTAATAATGGGATATAAGTTGATATAAGGGTTAATAATGGGATACTTAATGACTAATCATTGCCAATCAGCCAGATACCCTGCAAAACATGATAAATTCTTTGCTGGTGAACGCAGATATCCCCACTAATACCAAAAGACTAAAGGACTAGTTTGTATCCATCTAAGATTGACCTAGGTTATAAGTTGCTTCAAAAAGCCAACAGGAAAAAAAACAATATAAGCAGGTTATAACTGGTTAGATATAAGTATAATAATATTATATATCTAAACATTATGAAAAACCAACTTAGCCCAGGCTATATGTTTAGGAGTGAACTGAACTTTCCAGTACTATGAAGCCTAGTGTTGGAATGAACTAGACATTACTAAAAACCAACTTAGCGATTAGGAACTGAGGCACCACCTTGCACAAAAAAAAAACAACATCCCCACAGGTATGTTTAAAAAGAAAACGCCATTGGGAAATTTATCACATCATACCCTCTGGTAAACTAATATAACTGTAATGGGTAAATCAACTATAAATTGCCTTTTTCACTAGCTATGTTAAATTACCAGAGGGTATCACATCCAAATTTGTCCAAACCCAGAATCAATTGAAGGAACATCCCACTTAATTGGATTCAGATCACACATACCTTGGTTTTGCTCAAGAGACCTGCAAGAAGTAAACCATATTCATATACATTCCCTCTTTTTTGAGCCCCCAAGTAGTTTTTGTTCCCAGTGGGACAATGAACACACACACACATCAAACACACGTTAAAGTATTGCCCATATGCTCCATGGTGCTGGAATATTTACACCAACATTTGCCCAAACAAAATCACCCAGCTATGTAGTTAAATATACCAGCACCATGGTTCGCATCTGGGCTGGGGACAACAACAAAAAACCGACCTCCGATCCGTTGCGACAACTTCTCCGTTCGATGATCCGTGGCCGTGGCCTGCTTTTAGGAGAAGCGCAGCAGCTTCCAGGTAGTCTGTGATCAACTGGCCCAGATCCTACAATGTGGGGCCCCCAAGGTAGCTAAGTTGTTTTATAACCCCATCTAACTATGGTTATAACTACCATAAACCCTAATGAATTTGTAGTTATAAACCAACTGAACGCTATCTTGGGGGCCCCAGATCCTAGAAATGCAACTGCCAGGATCTGCCAGGCGTTCAGAAACGTTGCCGCTTTGGATGCTCTGAATGAATGACATGGAATTCATGGAAACCAAAAAGAAAACAACACCCAAACTAGAAACGTAAAATATCGTAAACTTGTTGAACAAATAGTGGCAAATTACTTTTCTCTATACATTTTGTGGGTTCCTATCACAGTAAACAATGGATGGGTTTCTAGGATTTGTTTGACGGAAAACGCGGCTTCTTACTGAGGCTCTCCTCTAGTTTTTTCTCATCATCCAATTCTCGGATTTATAGTTCACAAAGCTGGAAAAACAAACATATAGTTTCTCCAGTAAACTAACATATAGCTATTGAAAATGACCATTTAGTTCGTTGATTTACCTCGCAAAAATGGTGATTTTCCAGTTCGCAAATTCTTGGTTTACCAGAGGGTCGTTTCGCAGAGGGAACATCCACCAGTTCGTTTCGTCAAGATTCTCTGGGATTCAATGGCGAATCAGCCAGATAGCCTGCAAAAAATAGCATAAGCCAGACTTTTCAGGATGAGTTTCTACAAGGTGGTTACCCAGCTCGTTAGCTAAGTTGGTTTATAACTCCAGTAATTCGGGTTTATGGTAGATAATTGGTAGATATATTTATACTTAATGGGGGTTATAAACCAACTTATAACTGGAGGGGCACCACCTTGCAGCCCTCCAGTTGGTTAATAATGGTTGATAATGGTTGATTAACAATGGTTAATTAGTAGATCATCCCATACCAAAAGACGATTCAGGATTAGTTTCTACCCATCCAGCCGATTGACCTAGCAGCCCTCCAAGCGATTCTGAAAAAATAGCTGGTTACACGTGCCATCAAACATGGTTGCTGGGTTTTCTTCTTCCAACCCGAGGTCGATTGGGAAAAAAAAGGTGAACAACCATTCAACAATTCTTATTCAAGATTTCCTTGGCCGAATCCAAATGCCATGGTTGATTCTGCCCTATTTCTGGATTGGTTCTCTCTCTACAGTCACGATGGTCTACGCTGCAGTTCATCCTTGGATTGGAGGCAAACAAAAAAACTCATATTTCAAACCGCCAGACGTATTCATAAGATCCAGCTGCCCGTGTAAATCCTCTTGAAAAAGGGACATCGCCCATTACGTATTATTTTTGTTGCGACTTTTTGGAACTAAACATATTCCGCCTAGATTCCCAAGCAGTTGAAAAATTGCGTATAGTTGATTATCTGATTGGTGGTTTCAACCCCTCTGAACAATATGAAAGTCAGTTGGGGTTATAATTCCCAACTGAATGGAAAAAAAAGAAAATTCATGTTCCAAACCACCAACCAGATATAGATCCATTATATATATATCCATTACATATCTATCAAACATATTTTTCAGTTAATATATCATTGACTGATATTATATAAGACCTACAATGTGAGGCCCCCTAGTTATAAGTTTGTTTATAAGCCCCAGTAACTATAGTTACAAATACCGTAAACCATAGTTATTGGAGTTATAAACCAACTTAGCTATCTAGGGGGCACCACCTCGTATATATATGATTGTGATTTGCTTAAGGAGGCTACAAACAATTTTTCCACCAATCCCCAGATTTCCCAACTGGATTTTTTTTTACCACTGGCAGCCAGTTATCCAAGAAATCTTCAGCAAACCAAGGAATATCATCAACACCCTCTGGTAATTTGTTACATAGCTATTGAAATTTGCACATTTATAGTTGATTTACCTAGACAAAATGGTCATTTTCCATAGCATATAGCTATGTTAGTTTACCAGAGGGTAAACGAAAGAATGTGGATAAAACAATAATAACCACCCATTTGGGAATGGTTTGTAGTACCTATTTATATCTATTTATGGTGATCAGGGGAATGGTTTATCATTGTGGTACCCACATTATCCCAATATATCCCATTGAATCCCATTTGCATATAGACATTCACTAGTTAAGAACCCTGCTGTGAGTTAAAGTACCAACAATTCGTGGCTTGTCCCATATTTTTTTTATCGGCGAATCGTGGGATAATCCTCCACAATTTAGTTCCACGTATTCTTTGTGTAGTTATCTCTTCATGTTTCTTGATAATTGGTGTCGACTAAAAGTTTAACTCCCCTTATTTTTGCGAGTGAAGCCGCGAAGCCTTTGATCAATGTTGTTTTTCTTCATTCCTGATATTCCACCATATATCCCCATGAAATCCTCAGTTGAAAGTGACCTATCCACTATAACTCCCAGAATTAATCTGGGTAAACCATAATAATTCACTAACCTGAATCTTGCCGCCATTTGGGGATGATTTCCCATATAAAAACCATGATTCCAGGGTTCGGTCGTAGTGAGGTCGTGATCAAATTTACCCATATTAATCATAAGCAAAAAACATTGCTGTCCTGATACATCTCCTGCATAACCTTTGCATGCTCCAACTGCTCCATTTTCGGCGCCAACGGGAAGTTGAACACCACGCTGTCGAAGGAATTGGCGCGGAAACGCCGTCCTCAAATGACCCACTGGGATCATCGAGCAGATCACTGGTGAGTCTCTCTGGTTTTAGAGCGGCTTATGAAGGGTTGATCTTCCAAGTACCCTCTGGTAAACTAACATAGCTATTGAAAATTGCCATATATAGTGGATTTACCAATTAAAAATGGTGATTTTCCATAGTTATGTTAGTTTACCAGAGGGTAAAGGAACAGGAAGCCACTAATGAAAAACTCCTCATTACTGCGATACAAATGTAGGAGCCTGGACCTATCAAGGCAAGTAAGGCAATCGGTCTGGCATGGCAAGCACTTTTACGCCTAGGCAATCCCTGACTGTCCCAAGTGCTCGTGCCGATATGCCATGAAATCCGCTCAACCTGACATGGAAGACTGTGCAAATGTCAGCTCACACTGAAATTTGTCAATTACTATATTATATATTCACCTATACCAATAACATATATGATTGGATATATGTATTTGTTGTCGGCTTGCCAACATTGGTGCAAAGTCCCAAGTACACAAAACATCCTCCATGTGCATGCACAACATTTGGAGTGGGACGTGAACATGCCCTTCGAAAACAAATCTGACAGATTCAACAATGTGCTTTTGGGAACAAAAGCATGGGGCAGGTGACTGTCATACGGTATACCGTATACCAAAACTAATCACCGTAAATCCTCAGACTTTAACACAAACTGGTCGTGAAAGGCATCTGGAGGCACATTACGAATCACCAATGCCGAGAAGTGGTGACAAACTACCCCAGCAGCCTGCTTCTAAATGTCTAGTTGAATCCTCCCAGGGCTTGGAAACAGTTTGAGATCAACAAGAAACAGTGGTAGTAGATGATGATGACTGGCTGGTGGATTGAAATGGTTTTAATATGTTTTAACCCAAAAATATGCTCGCCATCTCAACCAATCATCACAAGTATGGTTGAAACTCGCCAGTATTGTTGAAGAACAACACATAGTTTTAAAAAGTTGAAACCCCCAACCAGATGATGCTGGAGGCAGCTGAATAACGTTTGATATGTCTTATGATCAGACTTTGGACAAACCATTATCCTGGTTTGTTGTTCCCATGCTTTAAAAGTGATGTCTTTTTGTGGGATAAATATGGGTACAGGATAAACCCATCATTCACTTTCATAGCCATTCTAAACAATAGAAAATCAAATCCAATCGTAAAATAGTGGTAAATTAAACCTTTTCTCCATCTTTTTCGATAGTTACCATATGCCAAGCTGGTCAAAGTCTAAAAAAAGACCCGTGGCACTCGGATCAAACATGACAATTGAACATCTTGATATCATGGATGGTTTTTCCCAGTAAAACAAATAATAATTGTAGCATGTACCCTCTGGCTATTTAACATAGCCATGGAAGCCATGGCCCATTTATAGATAATTTTCCCAGCGAACTAAACCTCCATTTATTTTGGGGATTTTCCATGGCTATGTTAGTCATAACCAGATGGTATATGATGGATTTTGCGTATATGTTCCCCTGATTTTGCCATGAAAACCATCCATTGAAAACGGAGATTTCCCATCCATGTTGAATGACACTGAAGGAAGGCGCCACCGAGGCGCCAGCAGTTGCAACGGGAACGGAATAGAAGACCTAGGCCGGGCCCCGCAGCTGCCAAAATATGCAAAGATACCCTCTGGCATTTTAACATAGCTATTGAAATGGTGATTTATAGTGGATTTTCCCATTGAAAATGTTGATTTTCCATAGTTATGTTAGTTTACCAGAGGGTACATGGTGAATCTTAGATAAACATTTGGTTTATGGTACATAGAAACTGTGATATTCATGAGGGTTTATAAACCAACTTATAGCCATGGTAAATCTTACATATCTTACATACCTGCCAAAAAGATCTAATCTTTAGCTGGTGAATGGACGAGTTTTACGGATGATCGCCATTTGATAGCACAATATCAAAGTACCGATTTCGTATCAAACCAGTCGGTTGGCCCAAAATAATCCCCAGCCCAGAAATCCCATTCATCTGGGTAAATTCTAATAACTAATTCACTGACCTGAAATATGGCTATATTGGGATAGTTACTTACCCCTACTAACCATCATCTATCGCGAGGTTGTAGTGAGGTCGTTATACCCTCTGGTTATTTAACATAGCCATGGAAAATGGGCCATTTATAGATGATTTTCCCAGCTATAAACATCCATTTATAAGGGATTTTCCATGGCTATGTTAAATAACCATATGGTAATATACCCAGAGTCATTGTGAAAAAAAAACTCCCAGTAGTCTCTTCCATGAACTCGTCAAGAAATCACCATTCATGTCCTCCGTTTCTTCCCATTTCTTGGGGCGTTGCGCCATCTTCCCCATGATATTCCTACAATGTGGGGCCCCCAAACGTTAGGTGTATAACCCCATCTAACTATGCTTATGCCATAAACCCCATTAACCAACAACTATAAATTGGCTTCTAAACCCCATTAACTATAGATATATCACCTATAAACCCTAGTGAAATTGTAGCTATGTTTTGTAGTTATGTTCACCAACTGAACGCTATCGAACGGGGGCCTCACATTAAAGTCACCATGAAAAGCCGGTGAAATCCCACTTGGGCGGGCCCGGAAAGTGAATGGGTAAGACGGCTCCGGTTTTATATGGAAGATCCCCACTTATTCATATGGTGACATATGGGCTATATATATATATTCATATGTAAAAACCACTTATATAGTAAGTGGGACCACATCCAAGTATGAAATGGCATGAAACGGGAAGCAAAGCCATAATGTATATATATATACATACACAAGTCCGGGTCTCTCTCTCCATCGCCTTCTTCACTAATCTGCAATGTTCGGTTTTTGAGGGATAGATACCCCTTACTAAGCAGCATTTCAATGACGTCGGCATGAGGTCGTTATAACCTACCCAGAATATGGTACTTATGAATGCTGCTTGGTTAATAGGCATCCCTATTTATGATGGGTCATCACAATCCGAAGAAAGCAGGTAAGTTCATACCCCCTCTTTCATAAACAATCAATAATGGTACAACATTAATGGCTCAATTGGGAACTCAAACAGAAACAAATTTGGAAGTTGTTTAGAGAGGGGTCACCTGGCAAACACCACTAAGGCCTCATGTTTTGGGATTACTTTCCAGTTAACTGACATAACCATTGAACATGATCCATTTCTATAGTGTTTTACCTATTGAAATTATGATTTTCCATAGTCATGTTCGATGACCGGAGGGCATTCGCCTGGGGCAGTTTTGGACCCCCATAACTTGGGATATGGGGACCCCAAATATACCCTCTGGTAAACGTTTACATAACTATGGAAAATCACCATGTTTAATGGGAAAATCCACTATAAATCACCATTTTCAATAGCTATGTTAGTTTACCAGAGGGTATGATGAAATATATATCCACTTGTACTTGGAACTGCCCCCCCAAGTATTGAATTACCAAGGACGCCAGTATTCACAATCTAATTTCAAGTGTCCCCTTAATAATTTTAAACCGTGCCAACCATGAACGTGCTTAGAGGCTTAGATGTTGCCACAATTAGCAATTCGTGGTTAGTGCTTGTTGGCTACAACCTCTCAAAAAACTGGGATGTAGCAAGAAAAAGGATTGCAATCATCATACATCAATTATTGGTCTTGGCAATGGAACATTCCAACTTTTAAAAGAACAAACAAGTTAGGATAAATGACAATCATGGCTCACTGACTGAATTCACGCTTTTTTGGGATAGTTGCCGCTACTACCCATCATGCCTGTAACGTCGCAGTGGGTCGCTATAACATATCCAGATTACATTCCATAACATCCCTATTAAATATCGCCATATTTTGCTGGTTATATTCCTATAAATCCAAGGTATCTATTCAACGAAAACGAAAACGTGGCAGGTCTCTCTGCTCAAAAAGTGGGTTTCGTGTCCAGGTGTCCCGGCATTGCAATCCCTTTCCAAGTCGCCTAATGGGCCAAACATGGCGAAATGGGAATGAAACAGGATCCGAACAGATGGAGCTACGTAAATGTACCATATTTCTGGCCATATTTTGTGGTATTCCCTGAAATTTAGGCTAAAAATAGGCCTTATATGGTAGGTACCTCCGGTTTAGGTTCCTGAAATGGCCATTGACATGTTGGGAATTTGTTTGATGGATATGACCTGAACAATGAGAATCTAGTCATTGCCAATCAGCCAGATACCCTGCCTAAAAAACTAAATTCTTTGCTGGTTAGTAGATATTCCCATTAATACCAAAAGACTAAAGGATTAACGTATCCATGTAAGATTGACCTAGTTAACAATGGGAATCTAGCCATGACCAAAAACTCATGTTTCAACAGGCTCGCTCCAAGCTATTGGGGTGTAAATGATCGCCACTTTTGCGGGGCAACTGGGTCATTTCACCTTTTTTTGTTACCCAATTTACACCCCAAAAGTACCCGGGGACCCCAAACCAGCGACCCTGTTGGATTGGTGAACCATGACAGAATCCCAGGCCTCCCCGGCCTATCTTTTTGAAAGATGTTTCAAAAACGAAAATGTGCAGGAAGAAAATTCGCGCAAACTTTGGTTTTACAAATCTGTAAGTTTCGACCCCTTTTTTCAACTCCCCATCCCCCCTCAGGCCCAATTTAAAAAAATCTATTTAGTCAATTTCATACACCAGTTCACTTGAAGGGCCTTGGTTCACTTTTTCCCTGTTGAAAATTGCCGTGGTTCGTTTCCCTGCTAGTCTGGTACACCCAACCTAAACCAACTTCAGTGCGACATGATGTTCCTGCATTACAATGTGAGGCCCCCAAGATAGCCAAGTTGGTTTATAACTACAATTTCACCAGGGTTTATGGTAGTTATAACCATAGTTAAATGGGTCTATAAACCAACTTATAACTAGGGGGCCCCACATTGTAAGAGTGCTAAAATGAGCCTTCGGCAAAACTGATCCAAATCTCTATGAAGCAAAACCCTGGGACCCTAAGTAGCCCAAAATAGCTGGTTACAGTGATGGATGTTTATTCACCCAAAATATGGTAATAGGTTTTGACCAATGCCCATATGTTTTGACCAAATCTGCAGTTGAAATTCCTACTACATTCTGCTGCTTGATAGTGGCACCGGGGGAGCAAGGATACTACCAGACCAGGTGAGGTGGTGCCTCAGTTCTTGGGCGAAGTTGGTTGGTTTATGATTAGTTCAACTAGGGATAATGTGGATATTTCTGTTGTTAGGTTTGTTTATAGACCAGCTTATAATTTGGGGGGCCACCATTAATCCCATCTTCCACATCACGGACACTGGCAGAATTCTAACTATGGCCTGTCTATCCCATCTTGCATTCAAGGCTTCATGAATTCTCAAGCTTTTTGTATCCTTTATCGAAGAGGTACAAGGTGGTGCCCCCTAGAATCTTAGATAGCTAAGTTGGTTTATAAATGGCTTAACTATGGTTTATGGTAGATATAACTATAGATAACTATGGCTAATGGGGTTTATAAACCAACAAACATCACTGGAGGGCACCACCTTGTAGTGAACATTAGTAAACCTATGTTAAGATATGCGAAGCTTGGCAACACACAGCCGTCGATCCTTCTAGATCCTTCCAGCCTTTGGCAGTGGATTCTGTTGGCTTCCATTGACAGGGGATGACTTGGGGCCTCCAGCACTAAGGAAAATAGCTGGCAATATTTTCAGTATGACTTCTCTATCCCAGGACACACTCCCGCGTTTGTGCGTTTGCCTTCGTTTGCCTTCAGAGCTTCATGAATCCCAAACCCTTTTCTACCTTTTTCTCAAGATTTCCTAGGAGGTAATAAAGCATAGTCAAGCTATGTCAAGATATGTGAAGCTTGGCAGGTCCTGGCCTTCACACAGCCGACCCTTGATCCTGCTGGATCCTTCCAGCCCTTGGCATCTAGTGGACCCTGGCTTCCATTGAGAGGGGATGACTTGGGGCCCCGAACAGGCTCCAGCACTACGGAAAAGAATCACAAACACTGGCAGATTTTTAAGTATGACCTCTCTATCCATGTTGGGGCCCCAAACAAGCTCCAACACTGAGGAAAAATCATCTGGGGGCCTTCCACATCACAGACACTAGCAGAATATCAACTATGGATAAGTATGATATAATATGTATGATAAAGTATGATATATATATATATTATATATATTGATATAGTATGGTCTCTGTGTACCCAGCTATTTTGGTGGCCACATTATGCAACATGATGCCGCATGTACAAATTCGGAATGATTCAGATGTACACACGCAGGAGTTTCGGTTTTAGAATGCCCCAGATCTACAGTACCTGTAACGGAGAAAACGAAAACGGAGTTAACGTGAGTCAACAACCTAGCAAAACTCTTGTGACAGCCACTGATAGGTTCAGCAGATCCAAGTAGCATCTTCAGAATCCTGCTTGGTGTCCGCAGCGCTCTGCTGAATGCTTTTAGGATATGTATGGGATCACTACATCCAAACAATGGCGCTGAAGTGCTCCGGTGCTCCAGAAACTTGCCCCAATAAAGCATCACATAGGCTGAAAGACTGATGATGACTGATGATGACTGATGACAGTCGAAGGCACAGGACAACGGAGGCCTCCGGTAGCACGCTTGCACGCATGCAAGCGTCAAGGATGGTCCCGACTTCTTCCATCAACGGGGGATGTGTTGGATTTGGAAGCCACGGGTGCCAATCCTCTGCGGCCAAGCTGCGCAAGCGTCGTTTGATCTGGAACCTGGATGTGGGAAACCCTGGGAAAAATGGAGATTTACCCTAACAGGTACCCTCTGGTAATGACTAACAGTTTGCTATTGAACATGGCCCATTTAGTTCGTTGATTTACCTATTAAAAATGGTGATTTTCCATAGTTATGTAAACGTTTGCCAGAGGGTAAATTAAACAATTCGACTCTGGCAAAAAACGGAGTTGGAAGACTAGTGAAACCACTGAAAATTGGTGATTGTTCAGGGTCGAACTGTTAATTTACCAGAGGGATCCAGAGGGTAACTTAGCATTTCACCATTGAACATGAAAAAATCATGGATTAATCACCATTAAATCACCATTTTCCTATGGTTTTCCATTGTTTTGAACCATGTTCATGGGAGAATAATGGGATGAGAACGGGACCAATGGGACCATCATTAAGCAACCCCAGTTATGTTTGTTGGTTCGGTTTCGCCCATCTAACTACAGCTTTAATCACCATAGACCCACGTAGACCATAGATATACTAGTTGTAAACCACCTTCAACTGCCTACGACTCAGCAGCTTTAAACACATCCCAACCTTCACACATCCACGCTCAGGCATATCATTGCCTACACTCCTGCATGTCTATAATATGTGTGCATGTCTGTGTCTGTCTCTATATATATAAATTATTTGTCTATTTATTTATTTATTTCTGATTATTTATGTATGTATCTGTCAATCTAGGCAACTCATATGTATATATATATATATATATATTGACTTTTATCTCAGAACTACCCTTTTTCATCACATCCTGGCACTCAATTTCAAGACCTCCCAGCACTCCACGGGCACCGAACCTCTTCAGTAGCTCCTCCTTCGACTCGTAGCTGGTGGCTGTGATGCCGCCACTTGTGGCGTCGCAGAAGCTTTTTTGCACCTCGCAGCCAGGAACGCCTTTCCGGCGGTAACTTTGGGAAACCTGGATTTTCACATAGAGGTGATACACATATAATATGCGCATACACCCTGCATATGACATATTTACCTAGTTTACCTCAAACATCATCCAATTTTGGGTAAATGGTCGACCATGCATGGGGTCGCTGGTGTACTTAACTCGACCAAAACTTCACCAGTGCAGTCTTTCTGTCCTGTTGAATCAAAAACTCGACCCTGATTAAAAGTTCAACCAACTGTTGAACATTGCCCATCTTAGATGCCCTGCAAACAAATAAAAAGTGAGCTGGTGAAGCTAGATATTCCATGATATTCCTATTGAAATCGCTCAGATCAGTCGGATTAGTTCCCATCCATTTCTTTTTTTGTCCATGGCTATATTCCCCATCCCAGATGCGAACCATGGTGCTGGATATTTACCTACAAAACTGGGCAATTTTTAAGGGGTAAATGTAGGTGTGCATATTCCAGCACCATGGTTCGCATCTAGAGCCATGAACTACCCTCTGGTAAACTAACAGGTTGCGAACTGGAAAATCACCATTTTCAATGGGAAAACTCACTATTTCTATCGCCATTTTCAGTAGCAACCTGTTAGTTTTCATTGTCAATCAGCCAGATAGCCTGCAAAAAATGACAAATTCTTTGCTGGTGAACGTAGATATTCCCATTAATACCAAAAGACTATTCAGGAGTATAAGTTGGTTTATAAACCCCATGAATACCATAGTTATCTAGTTCGTTATATCTACCATAAACCATATAGAATTTCAGCCATTTATAAACCAACTATTTTTACGCTATCCAACGGGGGCCCCATCCTGTAGCAACCTGTTCGTTTACCAGGCGGTGTCACCAAGGCGCGGCGGCGGCGAAGCTGAAGTTCGCCTCGCCCAGGAAGAGGATCTGATGTCTTTCTTTGTACCTCGACCCACCATGGCATCCCAAGGTGTGGGAAACAGCTGTCCACCATGGGAAAAACACGATTTATGGGCCTGGTAACTGGGGATGGATTTGTTACCCCCCAAAAATCCCAATGATTTTTTATCCATTTACTAACTAGTTAACTAACTCGCCCATCTAAGTGGGAAACAGCTGTCCACAATTTAAGGTGAAATCGCTAAGTCCTTGGGGAAACGAAAAAAAACACACAATTTCTGGGGCTGGGCTGAGGATAGCGAGCTATAAGTTGGTAACTCCCATCCTGGAGCATCCTTTTCCAAGAATTTTCTAGCATTTCTTGCTTTCTAGTGGAGTTCAGAATTCCAGTTGCAACGAATTGTTCAGTGACCTTGCATTTGTCATACGGTTTGCAGTCAATGATTTGATCAGGTGGGTTCTAGAAAATTTGATTGTATGACTTTTCAGGAGTTGCGGGAGTTTGATGCGGGAGTTTTGCGGGTAATTCTTGACGTTTTTGAACATCAAAACTGAAAATAAAACCACATGTCGTGCAGAAACATTGTAGCCTGCGACATCCACAACTCATTGGTTTTGGGTGATTTTCAAGGACATTGAGTCAAATAAGGAGTTTTGATCAATTTGACATCGTTTTGAGCAAAAAAATGTCATTTCCTAGATTTCCGTGAAATTCTAGGATTTGGAATGTCCAGGATAATTATATGGTTTATGGTCCAGTACTTATAACTATAGTATTCATGAGGTTTATGAACCACCTTAAAACTAGATGGGCCCATTCATGTGGGAAACCCTGGCTGCCATAGAAAACTCCCATGACTGGGGATGGTTTTTATCAAACACCATGCTGTTTTTTGTTTGAATGTTTTATTATTTGGATTACCACATCAAACAAAAACACCAAAAACATAGTGATAGATGGTGAATGGTAACTCTTAGGGATTCTATAAGAATCCCTAAGGGGGTTAAAAACCAACCAATCGCACTGGTAACTCTTAGGCACCTGTCAAAAAATCGATGTTTGAGCTGGTTAGTAAAGTTCACCGCAAAAAAATATTTCAGGATATTAAAGTTAGTATCTAACCACAGGATGGTGGTTTCACAATTGTGTTTGTTGGTTTATAAACCCCATTAACATCCATTCACTATAGTTATATCTATCATAAACCATAGTTAAGCCACATATGAGGCAACTGATATATCTATCACAAACCATAGTTAAATATATCAGTTAAGCCACCATAAACCATAGTCAAGCCACCAAAAACCATAGTTAAGCCATCATAAACCATAGTTAAGCCATCATAAACCATAGTTAAACCATCATAAACCATAGTTAAACCACTTATATATCAGCCGCAAAAACAAGACGTTTCTGAACGCAACAGCCAACGTGGGTCCCATCCTGCAAGGTTTTTCCATGCCAAGCGTCACCACTTCAGCCCTGAGTTCGGAAGAGCTGCGACTCCAGAAATCGCGCAGAAACTCCTGGAACTCCGGCAGGCTTAAGTAGGTTTAGCACCCCAAAAAGTTGAAAAACTATGGGGAAAAAACAACCCAGTCCAAAAATATACTTGTCTAGAGTATATATAGATATATAGATACATATGCATATATGTACACACACACATATATATATATATGTTTGTGCGTGTGTTTCAAGTTTTTGTTTTTGGGGGTTTAATGCACTCAAACTAAAACTACGTTGGATTCTGGACAGAACATGATCTACCCTCTGGCGATCAAGGTCATCAAAAATCTTCATCCTTGGGAACAAAGACATCTAACCTATATGTAAATCATTGCACATATAGATAAACAAACACACTTATAGATAGATATATATATATAATCAGTTATAATCATATTTATATACTTGCATAATATGTAATTATATCTTGATGCAATTTTTGGATTTCCGCCAAATGTACTTACCTTAAAGGGTCGATTCCTGGCTGTGAAACCACACTTGCCCCAGTTCTGGTTTGCTGATTCCGTGCTGACAGTTTCACCTTCGGATTACGGAGAGTCTTTCCAAATAGAATTGTGGGGCCCATCAGTTATAAGTTGGTTGATAATCCCATTAAGTATCGGTATATCTACCATAAACCCAAGTTATTCCAAGTTATTGGAGTTATGTTCGCCAACTTAGCTAACGCTGGTAAACGTTTACAGTTCGCGAACTGGAAAATCACCATGCTATTCATGGGAAAATCCACTATTTCGACTGGGCCATTTTCAATTGCCTTTTTGACATAACCAGAGGGTAAACGTAAAGTTTTAACGATCGACGAACTGAATTCAACGAATTCACCGACCTCGGTGAAAGTCGTCGTGATCATTCAGCCAAATCAGCCAAATCTGAATCAAACACGTAAAAAAATCCGGGGAAACACATGTCACAACCAAACAAAGGGGACTCACAGAATGGCGACTTACAACCCATCCTCGCCTTGCGCGGCAGCCGCATTCAGCACAGTAAAACATCGGAAGCGAATGGCAAGGAAGTTCTTCTGAAAGCCAACTCGAGAATGGACTGCCCATGTTCGAAGATAGCTCAAACCCTCGACCTCTGGTGAATGTCAAAATTGCTAGTCCATGCAGGTTCATAGCCATTAATTAAACATGAATTGCAAAGGTGTTGACACAGAGCCGTATGAACCCCACCCTTTGGTAATCTAACCCCGCGCTGATGCAATGGGACTGTGCGTAGGTGGATTTTCACCAGTTAGAACCCAGGGTCACTCATTGGGTTCACAAATAATGCCATGGTGTTGGTGAAAAATCTCATGGTCGCAATGAAGTATGGGGTGTAAAGTCTGCTGTACTCGAAAGACATTCTGGCATACCCTCTGGTAAACGTTTACATAACTATGGAAAATCACCATTTTTGATGGGTAAATCAACTATAAATGGGCCATTTTCAATAGCTGTGTTAGTTTACCAGAAGGTAATTGGTCCTACTAGGCAGAACTTAGATGTGGTCCTTCAGTGCAGTTGGTATAATTTACCTAAATGGATTTTCAGCTCTGAAGTTAGGATCCTTGATAAGTGACTGAATGTCTTGCTCCTTGTGCTTGCTGTGTATTGGCATTGTAATGAAACATACATCCCGAAGCGTTTGGCGTATTGATTAGGTCGCGCGGGCCCCTATATTTTCAGGCCAAAATGGCTTGTAGATATAGAGGTTTCCTGAAATGGGGGTACCCCTAAATCATCCATTTATAAATCGGATTTTCATGAAATAAACCAGGTAAAAAACCAACCATTTGATCCAGCTATTGGGGATCCACCATTGATCTGGGTAAATTAGAATATTTCACTAACCTGAATCTTGCGGCCATAAAAGGGGATGATTTCCCCAAAATAAACCATGATTCCAGGCTTCGGGAGAACAGGGTTCGGTCGGGATGAAATTTACCCAGATTTCATTGCTAATCTTAGATAGCCTGCAACAAATTAATTTCTTTGCTGGTTAGTAGATATTCCCACTAATACCAACAGACTAAAGGATTAAAGTATCCATGTAAGATTGACCTAGATTTATGGAAATTTGAAAGACATGGCTTTGTGACCTCTGGTTTTCCCCTCGAACCAGGCCCCACAGTTCACCTGGGCCAAACCCCACAGTCCACCGATTTCAACGGTCATACCCATGAAACACTGCCATGACCATTGCCAATGAGCCAGATACCCAAAAAATGACCAATTCTTAGCTGGTGAGTGAATGTAGATAATCCCAAACCAAAAGACAAAAATCAGTTAATTAGTGTGTGCCCATCCAGTTGGTTAACCTATGTTAACCTAGTTACACCCTACAATGTGAGGCCCCCAAGATAGCCTTCAGTTGGTTTTTAACTCCAATTTCACTAAGGTTTATGGTACGCAAATAACTATAGTTAATGGGGTTTATAAACCAACAACGCTCGGTCGTCCTGTAAACGCGCGCTTCATTAAGCGCTTTTCCCATAGGCATAGCGTGTGTGTGTGCATTTTTTACCACGTATATGAGGGTTTCGTGGTGTTAGTTTTGGGAGGCGTGTCCACTCCCTTTCTGTTTTTTTTCATGGGAGCCAAGCGTTGTCTTTCTCAATTTGAATACCCACCCCACCCCACCCCACCCCATTCATCAACGTAGCGCTGCGTAACGATGTCAGCGTGCACGAACATTACATCAACATCGCAGTGCGTTGTGCATCACGCGTAACATGAACGTTATCATCCCACCCCACCCCACCCCATCCATCAACGTAGCACTGCGTAACGATGTCAGCGTGCACGAACATTACATCAACATCGCAGTGCGTTGTGCATCACGCGTAACATGAACGTTATCATCCCACCCCACCCCACCCCACCCCACGAAACCGTGATATACGTGGTAAAAAATGCACAAAAACACGGTGTGCCTATGGGAAAAGCGCATAAGAAAGTGCGCGTTTACAGGTCGACCGAGCCACCAACAAACATAACGTTTGGGGGGCCCCACATTGTACAAACTCCTACGAAAAATCCTCACCTCCCTGAGGTCAACCACTGAAAAAAATCCGGTGAGCTCCGGACAGCTGAGGACGAGCCCATCCCCTTGGCAAAAGGAATCCGGTTCCTCAGGGCGCAGCATGGCGCAGCATGGCGCAACTACACAAGGTGGTGCCCAAGGTGATTAGTTGCTTGATTATCTAGTTCAATGGATTGGTTTAAGGGAAAATTTAAACCGGAAAGCCCCATGATCTTAATGGGAAAATCTATGGTTTCCCGTAAATTTTCCCTTAAACCAATCCATTATTTAGTTTATTAGTTGAAGGTGATTATTATTTAGTTGAATTTTAGTTGATTAGTGTCTAAGTTGGCGGTGATTAAGTTTTTAGCTCGGTGTATCATAATATTTAGCCAAGTATTTTTTGGTATTATCAAGTGTTTGGTGGTTTCAACCATCTTGAAAAATGGTCAATGGGAAGGATTATCCCATATATTATGGAAAATAAAATTAATGTTCCAAACCACCAACCAGTTATAATTTGGGGGGCCACCATTAATCCCATCTTCCACATCACAAACACTGGCAGAATTCTAACTATGGCCTGTCTATCCCATCTTGCATTCAAGGCTTCATTCAGGTTATTATGGGATTGTATGTATCACTGGCCATCTCAGGAACCTAAATTGTAGGTACCTACCATATATAAGGCCTATGTAAGGGGATATCCCCACAAAATATGGGCAAAAATATGGTACGTTTACGTACCTCCATCAATTGGATCCTGAAGATCTCCCATTGATTAACCCTAACATCAACTAACATCAACTAACATCATCTAACATCAACTAATATCAACTAACATCAACTAACATCAACTAACATCAACTAACATCAACTAACATCAACTAACATCAACTAACATCAATTAACATCAACTAACATCAACTAACATCAACTAACATCAACTAACATCAACTAACATCAATTAACATCAACTAACATCAACTAACATCAATTAACATCAACTAACATCAACTAACATCAATTAACATCAACTAACCAACCATATTGATATGTTCCCATAGTTGGCTTGGGACTATGATGGTATACTGGGAGGACTGACTGGACTGGAATCCTGGAGAACCGCTAAGTCGGTGAACTCCGACTAAAGCTAGGGTTGCCCTGGTAGATATATGAAAAACTAATGATGGTTATAGCCAATGCCATAGGAAAACCATAGGAAAACTATAGGAACATGGTGATTTGTGTGATTTAACCAGCAAACATGGAGGTTTATAGAATTATAATGATGGTAAAACAATGCCATAGACCACCTATGACTGGGGATGAGATTTCCATACCACCTATAAAAATATGTGATAACTGGGGGATGGTTTATGGCATTGTTTCATGCACATTATAGTTAATTGTAACTGGATAAACTAACCAAATCAAAACTAGGGGGCGCCACTTGTACCATTGGGATTAAAATTATTCATACCAAGATTTTAGAGTTTATTACATATTTGATTACTAGTTTTTGCATAAAACAAATAAAAGAATATCATTGCCAGTATTCTCGCACTGAATTATTGGATTATTCACATTCACCTGAAAATAACTGTAGTATTCATTATTTATGTACAAGGTGGTGCCCCATAGTTAGCTAAGTTGGTTTATAACTCCAATCACTTGGGTTTATGGTAGATATATTTCTACTTAATCGGGGTTATAAACCAACTTATAACTGGGGGGCACCACCTTGTAAGGTCATTAAGGAGCGATTCCCCATCATTCCAATGATAGAAAACCACGTGGAGTCACTTGAAGTCGTCGACTTCAGCGCCTCCACGAGAGCCAAGGCCTCCGCCTCTGTCCATATAGATTTACTCAGGCCGCAAGACACTGCGTACCTAAAAGAAACATATCCCAGATGCTCCATGGTGCTGGAATATGTACCTACATTTGGGCCATTTTTGGGGTAAATATTTCAGCACCATGGAGCATCTGGGTATCTCTATCTACGCTCCCCCGTCTTCCCATTCATCCAGGATATCTGTTTTTTTTTGAAGGGAATCGCAAAAATGCACTGGGAGTGTTCACTTGGCCACATGTTGCAAGCAAATTTGAAAGGTAACCCATTGGGTGATAGGAAACAGATGGACTTCAGGGGAACACGATGATTTCGAGAATATAGGTGTGCAAAAAAATGGAGATGAGCAACACAAAAAAATGTCTCTTTGCCTGGTCTTTCCAGGCCAAACTTCAGGTAAAATGGTTTATGAGCAAACTAACGCTAGATGTTTGGTGGATATATCTATAGATGGGGTCTTACACCAACTTATACTATGGGAGGGCCCTTCCCCTTCCAGTATGTTTTATTTTAAACCCCCTGTCAATTAAGGGGTGGGGTTGTGCAACCATTTTGTAGTGAAGAATCGGCTTGCATAGCCTCAAGCTCTACTAAATGGATGTGCATGCATGATCGAATTTCCATTTAGTAGAGGGAGGCTAGTCAAAAGACTTGTCATATCCATTCGTATCCTTTCCTTTGGATTTCCTTGATTTTCATTGGTTTTCTGTTTCTCCATAACCTGTGCTGCCTTTGGCTTGGCAGGGGAAAGTTGTTCCACCTGCTGCTAGCAAAGGAAAAGGAAAGGGAAATCAGAAAGACAAGGGGGCAGGGTGGATGCAGCCCCGTCTGGGGGGCTGTGATAAGAGTGGAAAGGATTACCGACCCCCCATCACTACAGAATGGTTTTGCATAGCTTTTCGTGTTTGGGTTCTTTTTTTGCCTTTTTTGGGAGCGATGCCAAATCCCTCGCTTGGGTGGTTCTTGCTCGTCGGGTGCTGCCTTTCGTGTTTGCGTTGTTTTTTTTGCTTTTTGGGGGGCGATGCCAAATCCCTCGCTTGGGTGCTTCTTGCTCTATGAGTTCCAAATCACCCACTGTTCTTGGGTTCAAATCACCCACTGACATGCGTGCAGCATC